GGGGGGGAGAGAGAGAGAGAGAGAGAGAGAGAGAGAGAGAGAGAGAGAGAGAGGAGAGGAGAGGAGAAGAAAACCGAAAAGAGAGAGAGAGAGAGTAGATGAAGAGAAAGAGGAACGGGGAAAAAAAGAAAAGAAAAAAAAAGAGGAAACGAAGAAGAGAGGAGGAAGATGATCTGTTGTAATAATATAAGAGAGGAAAATTTGCTTTAAGCCCCTGAACCATGGAAAACTTTGAAACAAACCTTATAGTAATAAGTTATGGTTAAAAAATGACTGAAAAATATCTATTAGGTCCCTGTCTTTTGTTCAGTTGCAAACAAGTCCAATCTGAGGAATAAACAATAACTTTTAGACTTGATAAATTCCATATAAAACCCTGCATTATTATAAATTACTAGGAAATCCAAAAAAAGCTAGTATATGAAAGTTATAAAATTTTAATAAATTGCTAAAGTTAACAATAAGCACATATGTACTGCAGAATTTAATTATTATTGGTTATATTTGAAATTAGTAGACTCTAGATTATGAATTGATTTACCTATAATATATGTTTGTCCTGAATTAATAATTAGTCTTATATCTTATATTATAGGATCTGGTTGATATCAAGGGGACTAATATTTTTGGATAATCGTGTTCACTAGAGGTGAGTTCATTTCTCACTAGTATTTTATAATATAAAATTACACGAGTATTATATTTGATTTATCTTGTGATCGAAAAATAAATAATATGTCACTTTCATGTATATAAAGATTTGACCTATTTCTGTTGTGATCTATCCTATAATATGATGTTAGCCTCGTACAATATATGAAAAGCAAATTTGATTTCTATAGAATATGAAAAATGAATTTGGCTCTCGTGTAATTTTTTAATAATTGTGGGCATTGTTTTATTTGAAAGTTTTTGATGAAGTATTTGGAATATATTTCAATAGTTTAACGGATTCAAAGATTTTTCGTGATTTAGTATCTGATAAAAGAAAAAAAATAAATATCCGTAAACTGTTTTAACTGAAATGAGAAACTTTACCTTGTCAACTTCATTTGAAAATATCTGTAAATTCTGATATGCAAAGTATTACTCATTTGAAATGCGATCTCGATGTTTTCAAACCCTCAAAATAGTCAACTATGGATTGTTTCTGCCTGCCATATGGTGAATGCACCTTTATTTGGCCCTTCTGTATTGTCCCTTCTGAAATTTGTTCTGGCCCATCTATATTTGGCCAGTAACCTATGACAGTGTTAGGTGCATTCGATTCTCGGGAATTATCTGTTATGTGATGCGGTTACGCATTCCCTTGCTACTGGGCTATAATTCGTAGCCTTAGTGTGATCTATGTGGTGACTTTTACATTCATGAATAACTCATCGAGAATTAAGATTTTGATAATTGACTGTGAAATTGAGAAAATAATAATTCTCTGATTTGTACAAATTTCTAGTGCTTTTCCGTCTTAATGTTTACATTGATTCAAAAAAGGGTTAATTCCAAGAAACTTCACAGTATATTCAGTTGCACATAAGAAAGAAAATATAATTGTTGCATTCTTTCTTGAAAACAGACAATATCATGATGTTTGGATCGTATTTTGCTATATTTGAATTTCTCATGCAAAACTTATAATTCATTATTTCTGAGAATTATGCTTATTACTATTTTGTTAGTTATCTAGGAACTCTAGTAGGAAATGTTCTCACTGAGCGCTAGCTCACCCCGTTGTTTTTTAAAAAAAATTCAGATCCAGCGTAGCTTCATAGTAGCCGAACTTTTGGTTTGAGCTTTTGACTGAGAGGCATGATATGGAGAGCCTCTTCTTTTTTATGTTATCTTCAGCCAATTTGTTTTGTTTTGTAAAAATGTTTATAACGGTGAGCTTGTGGGCTGTAAGTACCAATCATATATATAGTTGCTCTGACTTCTATCATCAGCAGGTTTGTGAATATTTTAAAATAAACTATGTGATATGAAGTGTCAGGCTTGACCGTGCATAAGACTTGTCTCATGCACAGGTAGCTGCTGTCACGCACCCCGTATTTTATAAATTTCCGCTGTAATTTTGGGGCGTGACAGATAGTAGACACAAAATATTAACAATACAACAGAATTTGCAAAAAGGTGCCAAATTTTACGAACTGTTGCAACATCTACAGGCCTCCTATCACATGCTCAACAAAAAAGAGAGCCAAATCAAACAGAATTGATACAGTATCAAGAATAAATATGGGCAACAAGGATTTTGAAAGACCCCCTCAACTTTCAGGTTTTTGCAGAAAACCCCTTCAAGTATTTTAATTCCAAGGAACCTTGCTGAACTCTTAAGGGGTTTTGCACATAACTTCCCTGAGCTTCTTTTGTTGCCTAAACCCCTTGTAGATTTTTCACTTTTAACTCTCTAAAGTGACACCTAAGTCTCATGTATCACGTGCATTGGAATGATAAATAAGCACAAGAATACCCCTCAACTGAGGCAGGGGGTTTTCTGAAATTAACCCTAAGATGGAGGGGGCAATGCTTTTACAAAAAAAAAAAAAAAATTACCGAGATAATTTCCTCCATTCAGTGCAACCCCGATTAATTTCAACTCCATTGTTCGACGATCTCAAGAAATGCAGAAACCGACGTCCATCTTGATCTTCTTGCTTACGGATAGCAGACCCCTTGCTTCCATCACGTGGTAAAAGCTCTTTTTCATCGTCCAAGAGTTGCAAACTGGTAAGAGAATCGACTACATCATCATGCTGGCATTCTTTCTTGTAGTCCAAGGTGATTGTTTGCAGCTCGTAGGTGCCAATTATGTCTTGAGGCACACTCTGATATATTAAGAAAAACAAGATTGTTAATTATTATTTTGTAAGTATTAAGGTCCTTTCAACCCCCATCAAAATTCCAAAGTTATGATGAGAAACATTGAGTTATAATTATAGAGTTCTAACATGTCCTCACGGGTCAAATGTTCTTTTCAGGGACCAAAATCTGAACTATTTTAAACATGTTTTTTTTTTTGCAATCATGTAAGTCTGAACTTGCACCTGGGATGTTTTGATTCCACCTTAAAGTTCTTTCCACTGTATGATAACTATGAACTAGCAATGAGGGTTGAGATTTATAAGTTTATATGCCAGCAGTGAATAAATCATGAGGGCGATCAGAAAATTTTGAAATAATCATCATGAGCACGTTTCCATCTCCTGCAATAACAATATCAGTAATATAGCGCATCAAAATTGCCAAGATCTGGTAGATTTTCTCTATAATTGTCTCATAGCTGCCG